TTCTTGGTATCTTCCGCCTCTTCTTTACAACAGAAAATATCAGTAAAGGAACTGTTATGTTTTTTTTATTAACTTTCAAAAAGGCTATAATTTCGTTCTTCAATGGATCTTTTATCAAAATATAGATTTAAAAGCTTTAGGAAGACCTTGGCCGCGGTGTTCCCAACTCGTTCGCTATGTCCTTGTCTGTAGTGACGTTTTAGATTTCAATGAACGTAATCTATGTATTACTGGTAAATTATTAAGTCAAGGATTTCGTTACCACAAATTACTTAAAACCTTTACTAATTTTTTTCATAGATACACAGATTTGGTTTGCAAGTTTGGCTGTACCTGTAGAAAACTTATTTCAAACAGGATAGCACATTCTAATTTTTTTGGTGATGGTGTTTAAGGGTTGTAATGGGGGTACCTTTATGACGAATAACGGTAAGAAATCTTGCCAAATGACGTTAACGGTAATTTTAAATGCATGACGATAAAATGTACATTTTCTTTATGACGATAACAAAACGACTAATTTTGACGAATCACGATAAATTCTTTCCAAAAATAAAACGAAAGCAGATGATTATTTGAGACCTATGACGAATCACGATAAGGATATTTTTACAAATCACGATTTTTAACGTTAACGGTAGCCGAAAATGACCGTTTGACGTCTGACGGTAAAGGGCATAAACGTCTTTACACTATATCCATTGGATGTTGGATATGTACTGACTGATATTTTAGTCTTAGATACATGATTTTTTATTAGTTGTTATTGGCATTGAACTAGCTGTCAGTAACTGGGAGTACCCTCAGATCTGTACTTTGTGTCTTTTTTGTTTTTAGGGATGTATAAATACCGTGCCACGTCCAGTTTGTGTATTTGTTAGCTGTTTTTCTGCTTTGTATCGATCTGATGAGTTAAGCCTTTTTCAACTGATTTTCAGAGTTTGTTCTAATGTTGTGCTGTAACTCCACTGTCCCAGGTTAGGGGAGGGTTGGGCGCTCTCAAAAGATGTTTAACCCCGCCTCATTCTGTATGTGCCTGTCCCAAGTCAGGAGCCTGTAGTTCAGTGGTTGACGTTGGTTCATCTGTCATATTTGTTTTTCGTAAATTGTTTTGTTATGGATTAGGCCGCTGGTTTTCTCAATTGAACTGTTCATATTTTTCATTCCGGGGCCTTTAATAGCCGACTATATGGTTTGGGTTTTTATCATTGCCGAAGGCCGTACGATTGCCTATAATTGCTTACATCCACTTCATATCAACCTTGTAAGATAGTTGTCTCATTTGCAATCATACCACATCTTATTATTATAAGAAAAGCCAACTTTAACAAGATGAATCGGGAACAATGCTGACAGTTACTCAGATGAAAAAAATGATGTTACATGTACTCGGGACATTTTCCGATTTTGTAATCACGGACAATCCTGCTGTCGTCTAGGAAATTCAATGGATTTTTTCGATATCTGAAGATCATTATGGATATCCTATTTTGCTGTCTTGAACGCACAAGCAAGAACATTGCAAGCGCCATTTTATCAACTAAGAGAGAGATAGGGGTGCCCTTGACCACTCTTAGAAATTTCTGTTAAGTTTTCAGTAAAAAAAGAATGCTGATACACTTAAAATTTGCTAAGAGTAATCAAAGACGATCTTAAGTTGATTATCGACGTTCGAGATACCCAGTCGTTAAGATTAAAACTAAGAGAGCGTTCCGAGAAGGATAAAGAGTACTCTTGGGGTTGCGAGTGCAATATGAATTTTAAGGGCTGTCAATCATTCTAATATTACTTCAAGATACACTCTTAGCAGATAAGATGATCTTAAGATAATCTTATGCACAAAGATTGCTTCATGATACTGACCCCAGACGCGAGTTTTGTCTACAAAAGTCTCACCACTGATATTAGAATCACAAAAAGTAAAAGGTCAACTATAGTACGAAGTTGAGTATTTCAGGACACAAAATTCCGAAAGGTTTTGCAAATCACTTCTAAGGTAATTTATTTCAGTGGAAGAATATCATTAGTGAAGTTTGTAGTTTGAAAACTAGCACGGAGTAAACCACGTAGAGTAAAATCTGTGCACTTATATAATGGTAGACCATATCAAAAACTCTTGCTTTACATCGTATTAATAAGGAGTTTAATTAGGAGCAAATTTTCTACTTCAAAGGTGAATGTCATAAATTTCTCCACTTATTTGTTGGGTTTTGTGTTATTGGTTTTCATTTTTTCGTGTTCTAGTTAATGGTTTTTTTTTTTTTTTTCTAATGAACATACTGTTGTTTGTCGTACTTTAACTTAACAACATATTTATACACAACTCAATAGAACTATTATGCATATAGATTAATAATGGAACTAATACAACCCTTACATATATAAATAACATAACGCCAATCAGACCATGTCATACTCCAGGAAATAATGTGAAATAAAGTATGCTCATTTGTCATACAATTTAAGCTTTAAACGGATAAGGTTTCAGCAATGATTACGTTTGTGCCATATAGATTTGGTAGTCACATAATAGTATTACCCAAAACGAAGTTAATGGGCAATTTCTCACAAATACGTAGAAATGTGTATATTGTAGGTTATGGTTCAATGATTAATTTTTAAATATGCATTTTTCCTTTTTTGAAGACGAACGTAAATCATTTCACATCGGTTATCGATTGCATTTTTGCATGCACATAAGATTTATAAAATACATTTTGGATAAATGTAGGCAAGATAACAATTCATTTCTTTGACATAACATAATGGTCTTAATCTGAATGTATCCGATTAATCAACGATTCTCTTTAGATCAGTCAGTGGTATAAATCACATTGGTCTAATCTCTTTCCATTGAGAAAAGGTATCACATCTAAGTTGACATGGAAATTTAACTGATTTATTTAAAGACCTTTTAAGACAATAAAACTACAAAAATCGTTCATTCTTCCCACAAGTCCGATTAAAAGAGTTTTTAGAGAAAATACTTAATGCTTTTTCTTAAATAAAACTTTGAATTTATTGTTTGTTTATCCTTTTAATTATTTCTCTGTTTCATGACAAATCGTTTTCGACAACTTCCACTTACAATATCTTAATTACATATGTAGAAAAAGGAAAATAAAGAAATGTACAATATTCCAATAACACCCGAGTATTAAAGTAAACCGACAAAAAAATACTAGAACAGTTGTGTCAACTGTTATATTCCTTAGTTGATACAAGTTCCATTCTAAATAACCAACCAGTTACATGTAATTTAAATTGGTATTCTGAAACAGATACATTCAGGAAGGAGAACCGTGTGATTTACAATGGTCTTTGCATATATTTTTCGACTCAGTGACATTTGTTGATTGTTTGTTGCCGTCTTTCATGTATCATTCATTATGACCAGCTTGGGATTTCATGATATTCATTATTATACCCCACGCAACGAGTTGAGGAGGGTATAATGTTTTTGACCCGTCCGTCCGTCTGTCCGTCTGTCCGTCCGTCCGTCTGTCCGTCCGTCAGTCCGTCAGTCAGTCTTATTTCTTGTCATCGCAACTCCTCTCAAACCACACAACAGAATTTCACGAAACATTTTTAGATAATAAGGACATACTATGTAGTTGTGCATATCGACAGGAAATTACGATTCAATTTTTTTTCTAGGAGTTACGCCCCTTTGAACTTATTTACTTTAATGTACTACTGCAACCTTTTGTCATAGCAACTCCTCTCAAACCACACAACAGAATTTCATTAAACCTTTTTAGATAATAAGGACATACAACGTAGATGTGCATATCGACAGGAAATTACGATTCAATTTTTTTTCCAGGAGTTACGCCCCTTTGAACTTATTTGCCAAATATACTACTGCAACTTTTTGTCATCGCAACTCCTCTCAAACCACACTACAGAATTTCATGAAACCTTTTCAGATAATAAGGACATACTACGTAGATGTGCATATCGACAGGAAATTACGATTCAATTTTTTTTCCAGGAGTTACGCCCCTTTGAACTTATTTGCCAAATATACTACTGCAACTTTTTGTCATCGCAACTCCTCTCAAACCACACTACAGAATTTCACGAAACCTTTTCAGATAATAAGGACATACTACGTAGATGTGCATATCGACAGGAAATTACGATTCAATTTTTTTTCCAGGAGTTACGCCCCTTTGAACTTATTTGCCCAATATACTACTGCAACCTTTTGTCATCGCAACTCCTCTCAAACCACATAACAGAATTTCATGAAACTGTGTAGATAATAAGGACATACTATGTAGATGTGCATATTGACAGAAATTATGATTTGATTTTTTTTTCTGATACAATTTTTTTTTCTTACACTTATTTTATTTCTCCAATGACAATGTGGGGACGTGGGGTATGTGAGCGCGCTCACTAAGGTTCTTTAATTTTATTTTACATCGTCCAAAATTCTATCTTAGCAGTTTAATTGAGGTCTGGAACTGGCATGTTAAAAACTGCTAGTAGTCCTTTGTTAATTTATGCTGATCATTGTCATTTTGCTTAGTTTCTTCTGTGACATATTCTAAAATCGGACTCGGACTTCTTTTAAACTAAGTTTTATTGTGGGTACTGCTGTTTGTTTGTCACAAAACATGTTAAACCCCGCTGCATTTTGCGACTGTCCCAAGTCAGGAAAATCTAGCCTTTGTTAGTCTTGTGTTGTTTTTTTTTTTATTTTGGTTCATGTATATAATTTGGAGTTAAGTGTGGCGTCCATTTCACTGAACTAGTATATATTATTGTTTATGGTCCAGCCGAAGCCCGCCTTCGGGTGCGGGGTGTTCTCCCTGCATTGAAGACCCGTTAGTCGCCTTGGGTGTTTTCTGCCCTTTGGACGGGTTGTTGTCTCTTTGACACATTCCCCGTTTAAATTTTCAATTCTATAAGGAAAGCTACAAAATTAAAATAAGAAAATACCAAGAGACATTAAAAACGTTAAGTCGAAAAAAAACCCAGTTAACACCATATCTAAAACATACAAGTAATAAGAGACAGACAACAGGCAAACAACAGTTCATACAAACTGCGTAGTAAAAACATGAGACTCAGCATCTACATAAATAATATGAACTATACTCAGGTGCTACGGAAGGGTAATCAGTTCCTGTTCCATTAGTGACACACCATTTTATAGTTGTAAAATTTCATATAAAAAAGAAAAATTATACGATTATATATTGAGCAACTTCCCTACAAATACAAAAAAGACAATAGATGTAGTAGAAAGGTAGTTACTTTATGAATAGATTTTTAAACTTTAAAACACGGCGACAAAATAAAAACAAAAAAGGGGCTTCAAAAAGCAACGATCTGAGGAAATTGAATAGTCATATGTAAGATAAGTAAAAACTACGTAAATATTCTGTTAAAAATTTTGCAAATGTATTCTTATGAATCAAAATAAGACTAATATTATTGTGCGTTCGAAAACTCTTTTTTTTTCAGGAAAATTCAGAAAACAAAAATAATGGAAAAAAAGACTTATCAAATTCAACCAAAGAACAAAACAGGGTCTACAAGATTTATTAAAACTATATAATGATTATCTTGTATTGGAGAGTCCTGTTCATGAGTTATCTATTAAAACGATAAAAGATTTCTTAAACAGGATATTTGTTTATTATAATACTAATACAGAATGAAATATATGTATGTACACAATGGGGCTGCAACAAGCCGACAAAAAAAAAAAGAAAAAAGACATTTATCTGTTACAACTGTATGGTCAAGGTGCAGTGGTATCAACCACTGGTAGAACAATCAATACAAAAAATAGTTTTTACATTAATTTTCTTGTTTAATGTAATCTATTATAGCAAGCTGTGGATGAACATGTGTTAGTAAATACTACAATTATTGTATTGCAATGTTGGTATGACTTAACATAAATGAAACTGTACATATCAGTTGTTAAATAGAAATGACATTGTATCAACAATCACTAGAAACTGTTATTGCAAAATGATTTTGGTATGCATGATTTAATTGTACATTGTTTGAATAATTTGGCATTACATTTAAAAAAAAACGATGGTGTAATGTTGTAAACTGGTTGGTCAATGTGTATATAAAACTGTCCGTATAATTATATATATATATATATATTTGTTTGTTGTAAAGATAATACATCAAATGACGTGGGAAATTACAATGATCATAAGAATAAAATAGGAGTTAAGAGTAACCGCCATTAGTATTCAACTGTTACTCTGCATCCAAACTATCTATTTTCCGACAGAGTAATTACAGTGATAACTCGAACTAAGTCCATTGACCTGACAAAGACAACGGTCAAATATCAGTCCATTGACAGATGCAGTCATGTATTCATTATGATTTCTGCAGTAACCATATGCATCCTTACATTCTGAAATCATACAGATTATTCTTAAAATATAAATGATTTTTGTTCAGAATCTTAAAGAAAAGAGCTTTTTTTTAAATCATGAACTTAAAAATCTCATGATGTTTTGCTTACTTTCTTTCCACATGTGGAGCTCGATCTGCTTACCCTTCCAGGGCACATAAGATCACCCCCGGTTTTTGATGGGTTCGTGTAGCAAGGTCTTTAGTTTTCTATGTTGTGTTTTGTGTATTGTTGTTTGTCTTTTGGTCGTTTTTCATCTTTTGCCATGGCATTGACATTTTTTTTCGACTTATAACTTTAAATTATTATACCTCTTTGATATCTTTCGCCTCTCTTTCAAATTTCCTATCTATATATTTTTCTGTATGATTTATCTTTATTATTAGCATATATAAAAGGTCACAGTGATCGTGTTAAAATTTCGATAAAACGACTTTTTATCAACGGATTTACTTGATGAAGTAATGACAATTTCAGAAATAATTTTTTTTATAGCCATTGAGGGAAAATGTAATTTGTATAACAAAATCAAAACCGAAGTAATAAGAAAGAATAAATGTATCTTTGAATAAACATTTGACAAATGTATGATTTTTATGAAAAATTATCAAACTTGACTTCGACCTCAAGGGTTACTTTGATATAGAAATTTTGTCATCTCTTGGTGTTCTTCCGACCGGCAGTAAAACCCTTGCCAAAGTGGGCCTTTCTTTTGGCTGTGTGGGATGTATAAATTCGCAGCCATGTCCTGTCAGAGTAAAATCCGATGCCTCGTGTAGAGAGAATGCTACTCTCTCTGCACGATAAGAACCATAGCATCAACTCTTTGAGGGGTTCGTGAGTGACCTGTTGCAAGGCTTAATGTCTGTCCCTATCCAACATACTCTCATATTTCTGGGGCATTCTAAATTTCCCGACTTTTATCCCAGTCAACCCCCTATTGCAGAATCTACCTATTGTATTTATTGTTAGTTTGTTCTGGTCCTGAACATGCATGAAATACTTGCAACTGGACGTTAAGCAAACAACAATTAATCAATCAATCAAATTTAAACTGAAATACCACTGATTTAGTTATCAATGAATTAACATTATACGAGAGAATATGGAAGTCATTATATATATTGCAGTAATGCAACTAATTAGAAATGATTTAAAACTCAATATAAAATTGAGAATGGAAATGGGGAATATGTCAAAGAGACAATAACCCGACCAAAGAGCAGACAACATATATATTTTTTGGATAGTTGACTCATTGGCAATTATACCATATCTCTTTGTTTTAAATTGTGGTAATGTATTTGAATTTGAAAGTACATTAAGTTGCTCACTTCTACTAACAGCCTTTGCCATCATCCAATAATTGGCAAGTCGTTGACATTCGTACGTAACGCAGTCATTTTCCCATCTGGAACCAGTGTTATGACAAACACCGTTGACCTTGCATCCCTTACATTGTATTGGCACTGGTACAACGTTGGAATCCCCTAAAAGTGAAATGGGAAATTGACATACGCCATTTTAACTTCTCCTTCTAAATACTAGTATTAACAAAAAAAACCCAGAAAATAAGTGTAAGTTTACAAAGCAAATAAAATCATGTAAAAAAGCTCAAGTCAGTAAAACGGTATGACGCAAATAGTCAAACACAGAAAAAAAAATCAGAAGTCATCAAAATCAGGAATCTGATCAGAATTCATCAAAATCAGGAATCTGATCAGAAATCGTAAATAGGGCATCCATTAACATGCCATGCTGCATCAACACTGTTTAAATGTCCAGTTGATATGCATTGTTTGTTGGACTTTTTTCTGATAGCTGCGCAAAGTCTCCATCATAGCATTATATAAATATAAAGAAATATTCAAGTTGAAGTAACATGAGAAGTCAGAATTATTTTTGACATTCAATGTTGCTTATTGCAGCTTAGTGTCGATAAAAAAGATATGCACGAATTTATTTATTCAAATTGTCTTTGATCTTTCTCTCTGTAGATAGTAATTGAATTAACATTTATCTTTAAATACTGTACTACAGCGTAATTTTTTATATTTAATTAAAAAAAATACCGGTGTGTAAATCAGATATTGCAAGTGTAAGTAAAATAGACAATAAGATATATAAGTGACAGGTACTTTCCAAGATATCCGAGTAGATATTAGTATGTAGATACATGAAACTGTTACATCACATTTCTTGATACTCTTTACTCCCAAAACTGTATACTGGACATGTTTTAATAATCATTCTAATATTAAGCTACTCTTTCGCTTTTATAAACAAAGCCGTTTTTTTAATTTCAATAAAACATAAGTACACATGCTAAACGTAACAGTTAAATTTGCTATTTTGAACGACGCTGTTTGTCGCTTTAAGCTTGAAATTCGATTAATTCTGTAAAAACTCAGTCTATATGAATTTGTACACTTTAAATCGATTAACACTTTGTTATTTTAGAACGGTTTTGCTTCATCTGTTCAAAATTTGTACGTTTCGAATGTGTCTTCCGATCACTTCGGTTTCGAACGAAACAAGTTCTGAATTTTACTGTTAGAATCGAAATGATTCTTTCATACACTACTCTATGCCCATCTGAACATGGGTAGGCATTCGTACACTACTCTATGCCCATCTGAACATCAGTAGGCATTCATACACTACTCTATGCCCATCTGAACATGGGTAGGCATTCATGCACTACTCAATGCTCATCTGAACTTGGGTAGGCATTCATACACTAATCTATGCTCATCTGAACATGGGTAGACATTCATACACTACTCTATGCTCATCTGAACATGGGTAGACATTAAGAAGTATGACATGAAACAATTACTGTTTAAATTAATACCTTAGTTTTCTCATTTATCCAACTTAAAAGTTACATCAGTGGCCGATGATTAAAGTAAGAGCTATCCTATTCATTTCAATAGAATAAGTTAATCATTTCATTTTTGGATTATAAGCTCTTCAGTCTTCGAATAAGTTTTGGATATTTTAAACTCTATTTGGCTTCGAGCACCACTAAAGAGACATTTATTGTCGAAATGTTCATCTGATACAGTAGAATTGGTACCGTTAAAATAATATTATTAATGGTGTTTCAATTGATAAACTATAACAAAAACAGAAAGAAAAAAAAAGAGAAAACAATCAAGACCCGTCTACGGTCAATGTGTTCAAATAAACTATTGAGAAAGAATCAAACCCTCTTTCGATTATTATCACACTCATACCCCTGTTTGGGCGATTTTCTGTTCATTAAATCATAGATTAGAAAGACAAACATGAAACTGCTTTTGTCATATGATAACACTACTACAAGTATCATATTTGTAACTGCATGAACTTAATACAGACCTGTGCATTGATATCTAGTGATTGTCCCCGTGATTGTACACAAACAATTTTCATACAGTTGGTCCAAATGGTAGTATGGCATTCTTTCGCCATTATGTCTACATCTGCCATATGCGTCCTTACAAGCTTAACAAGGTAAATAGTGAATTATTAAGTAATTTAGAAAATAAAGTTACAGTGTGATAATCATCAAAGTTTATAACAAAATGAAACAATTCACGGAAATATACATTTCTAACATTTTGTTTCGTTGTCCGTGAGACTCTTGTCATAATATGTTCGATATGTAACTTATATCCTGAGTCAGAGTTGAAAAAAAACAAAGTTTATGTTCATTAAAATTAATACAGTCATTATAATTAACGGAAACGTACATTTTTTACCAGACACGTCTATTTTGTTCGTTGTTCTCGAGGCGCTAGTCAGAGTTAAAAAAATGTTCCCCGAGGTCTTTGGTATCTTACTATATGGTATTGGTTTTGCTTATTACTGAAAGCTGAATTATTCCCATATTTGTCCCGATAGTTGTCTCAATTTTAACAATAAGTCCTTATCTATATAGAATATAATCACCTTAATTGTTTCCCCAGGTCTTTGTACCAACAAGAATAAAAATTCACAAAATGTCTATCCTAATTACTGAAAGGTAGCTATAATTGACGGTTTAAGTTAGAAATCACAGGCATCTTTTACTAGACAGTGTATTTGTCCGATTGTTTGTGTCCATTTCGTTAATTAAATATTTTGCACCGAGTTTACACGAAAAAATATCAATGTTTTGTATTGCCATTCCAGTTGCCTGGGATAAACACTCATCACAATAATACAATAAGATTTGACAGGTATACGGCGATGTGACAGCAACCCAACCACTTAAATTGATAAATAAATTATATACAATTTTACTTATAATGGCGAAAATAATTTTTGTTAAGACGATATTATGATAATAAATGATCTGTCATTTCAACAATTATGATACCCTCCATTATATTAATGATTGTTCTATGTAACAATACCTGCAGCGACAACATTAGCTATCCAGGAATTTCCATCTCTTTGACATTCATAGGTAAAACAGTTTTTCTCCCATCTTTCACCAAATGTTCTACATACTCCATCAGGCTCGCAGTCACATCTTTTTTTATTCGAATTACTCGATCCTTTAATAAAAAAAAAATATGTTAAAAGCTCTATAAATGATATGGTCTTCGATGTATAGTTAGAAGAAAAAACATTAAATAGATAAATATTGAGTTGACTTATTTCAAGCACTCGATTAGTTGACTTATTTCCAGCACTCGATTAGTACACCTTTGATAACACTGATCAAACTCCCTGATGTAAACTCTGACAATCATGTAGAATGAAAAACAACGTTTTGTGTTAAAATATTTAAGGAGTAAAGTATGATATGTATCCACGTGGCCATAACCATACATCGGTTACACATGGCATGCTTTCCCAATTACTGTGGGTAAACCAGATTATTTTTAATGAACAAAAGACGAATAAAATGCCGAAACTAAACTAATTTTCCCAGTGATTTATCAATACGTTGGGCGTCTCCATTCATTAGTGTTTTACAGAGGCGCCACGTAACTAAAAACTCAGAATGTGACGCAATAATTGACAAAAGAATAATTTTTGTATCCCTTTTGTTTCTTTAATGTTGCCAAATTACAGTGATAAAGCATGTTCATATTTCTTACAACAACTCTTATAAAATGTACCAATGCCACATGTTCAACTAATTGCAAAGTCAGCATGTGGAAGTGTCCTAATATAAAAAATAAGGAGATGTGGTATGATTGCCAATGAGACAACTATCATCCAAAGTTCAAATGAAGAGGATGTAAGCAATTATATGCAACCGTACGGCCTTCAACAATGAGAAAAACCCATACCGTATAGTCGGCTATATAAGGCCCCGACATGAAAAATATGAAACAATTCAATTTAAGTTCATATAGAATAATGTATATGCTACTGATTTCTTTCTTTCTTAGTTTCCCTTTTCCCAATTCAAGCACGTATTATTTGATACGGGTTTGTAAAATTCAGCCTAATAGCAAAAAAAAAAAAAAAAGAAAATAAAAAAAGAAAATAAACACACCAGACAGTATTTAGGAGCTTAAAACAATTTTATGACATTTAGTAATGGCGCAAGTTTCCCACCAAAAAAATTGTTTTTTTAAATAAATACATGCAAGGAATATATTGCTTTCAAAGTGTAAAGATGTATATTTCCTGTGCTAACAATTATATTGTGTCCGATTTTCGTAAATCCAAAAATGACATGGAAAGGAACGTAAATAGGCGTATTATGAATAGCTTTCCTATCTCAAATGTTCTACATACTTCATGTACAAATAATCGTTTGTCAGAAGTTTTATTTTGTAAAATAAAAAACAAACAAAAAACACACACAAGTTTACAAGAATCTACACTAAAATCTTATTCTAATTCTGAACATGCACGGTGTATACTTTGACAACTAAATTAACACCCATGCTTATTTTCATTGTTATCATGGGTACCCCAATCTATAATATAAACATGATCATGTTATTATTTTGCTTAGTCCATTGTAACGACAACAATATTCTTATTGCCATTTTTTAACCAAACAATATAAAGATAATCTCAAAATATCTTTAAATATTCTTATGAAGCTTTGAACAACATTTTTAGTCGAAGTAAATGACACTGTTAAAGTTTTACTTTGAATTTTACTGCAAATAAATCTTTCAAAAAGTGCCCCGATGAAGCAGACAACAATTGCTCTACGCCCCCTCCCCTAATTATTAGCAACAGCTGTACTGACTATAACACCAAACTCCGCCTACTCAAATGGACATAATATTAAACATTAACATCAGCTATACGGACTAATACAAATGGAACGCTATTACCGAAATAGTTTATTTAAATTATATATGCGAAAATCTTAATAATTAACATTCTTACAGCAAGTATAATAGTTCCATTGCAAGATCCAGAAAATGGGGCAATTGTATACATGCTTTTTTCCCCCATATTTACTTTTAGGTTTACTCATTCATACCTTCACAGTGAACATAATCCCATGAACTCTGACTAACCCGACATGTACATGACTCTCCATAACCACCCATATTTACGATCATTTTATCTCCATGGTTAATACACTTGCCATAACCATCTTTACATTCTACAAGATGAGCAATACAGTCATGCATTATGCTTATTACAACTAAAAAACAAAGTTTTTAATACAGTAGCACGTATGGTGGTGAACCAGACGTATTTGTACGTTAAGTTATATTCATAAGTGACAATTTGCCATGTGATCGTGGTTAGTGTTTGGCAGTGTAATATTCTTTGTAGAATATATATTATATTTGTAACTTAAAGTAAGCGTGCAATTGTTTGCGTTATAAAAAGATATGATCAAATAGCATGTGTTTGGTTAAATCGGCATATGCAATTGTCGTAAACGTTAAAACTAAAAATGGCTTGATATCTAATTCATTCTTCCTTTTATTGCTAAATAGAATGTTTTTCGCTAGCATTAGATACATAGTAAAGCACTCAACGTACTTGCATGGGATATAAGAAATTTCATCAATTATAACTGACAAAAAATGTATGGTTACTTAGATTTATTTTTTTAAGAGAGATGGGATTTTACCATAACATGTAAGTTAATACACTAAACGTTTTTGTTCTTGTAGAAGTGTCTATCCTTGTAAATAAACTCATCATAGATACCAGGATTAAAATTTTGTATTTGCGCCAGACGCGCGTTTCGTCTACAAAAGACTCATCAGTGACGCTCGAATAAAATAAAAAAGTTAAAAAGGCCAAATAAAGTACGAAGTTGAAGAGCATTGAGGACCAAAAATTCTTAAAGTTTTGCCAAATACAGCTCAGGTAATCTATTCCTAAGGTAGAACAGCCTAAGTATTTCAAAAATTCAAAGTAATAGATAACATTTTATTTATTGTCCGTTATTATCTCACAAATATGTACATTCAAAAATTCGACTCGGAAAAGTATTAAACATGTGCAATGTCCCGATATTATAGTTTAAGAATATCAGAATAACAGTTTTCGATGAAAGTTTGTTTCAATGCTTAAATAAACAGTTACTTACTTACGCCAAGTGTCTGTATTACATCACCAGCACCCACACATCTTTTGGTAATGCAGTTGGATTCCCAGGTTTCACCATATCCATGACACCGTCCGTTGTCATAACAACCTGACCTGCAATGATTCGTGTAACCTGGAGATGGAAAAGAAGGGTCTTAATTTAAACTATTGTGTATTCATCAGTTTAAGAAGATAAGGTACGCGTCAAATAAGATAGAAACAACAAAATAACATGAAACCAAAGAAGACATACACTAACATTTTGAGCAAAAGGAGATGTGTGATATACAAAAATGAGATAAAACCCAACGATCACAAATAACCAAAAGACGTCTAGAGTCAACATACAGATTTCAAATATAGACAATTGGGTAAGCTCCAAATTGCTCTACGTGCCATAAAATCAAAAATTGGATATACATTAAACAAACATAAGTACAACATTCTACAAATAACAAAATCACTTTGTTACAGTCTGGCATACGACAGGATCTGATTTTATATCAACCTATTTTATTTATAAACATGTTACCTTTACGATGAAGATTGGGAAAAGGTTGAAATTAAAAAAAGGAAAATATGAACTACAAGTTTTTGATCAAGTATAGCTTTTATTAATTACAATGAGTTCTTAATTTAGCTAATTAGCACACATGTTACCGTAATGATCTCGTAGTTTTTATATTTACCTTGTGTTACAGTTAGTATAGTCAGCAAAAGTAAGCAACTACATGTAATTTCAAACATCTGAAAAATAATAAAGTTATGTAAATTTATAAATATAATTCTCCTTCAAGTCCAAAAGGGGGCTTATATTGGTAAACATACATTTTAAACAATCCTTTCATTAGCAATGTTTTGTTATATTGTAATGTTGGTCTTACCTTTACTGTATTTTTTCTCTATTTTTTAGCGAAAGCAATGATGTGTCAGCTGACGGAGGTGAAATCAGTTTATATGTTTATGAAATCGTTGTAACTTTATATTTGATAGCTGTAATATCTTTTAATCTCTTATCATAAATTATGAAACATTTCTCCAAATTAAATCATTTTATATAATTTTATATATAACTACCTTAAACGTCGCCATTATTGTTATTATAAATAACCAATTCTACATTTTCTAAAAGTATCATCACAATTATTTGATAATACCAGGGGTATATATAACGGAAATAACGGTAAATTACGTTTATTTTCATAGTTTAATATCTTGAAACTGCCAATCAAAAGGATATTTATATTATTTGACATTTTGGATATAAATAAGGATTGTACAACGGATAAGTATGATATTATCCATGTATGCATTACTCATCATGCTTGAGTGAGACGAAATATTAAAAATCCTTAAACAAGTGCAAGATGCTATTCCAATAAACAAACCAGATTCCCAGATCATAAAACGTGTGACTAAATAGGTACTTGTATAGGTTTTTATAACATTGAGGATACACACTGCAGATTTAATGGTTTATAAATGACTAAGCAATGCCTGAAAACTCCTTCAAAGCGACACATAAACCATGGATAATAACAGCGTGATGTCAGAATTTCCATACTTGTAGTAATAGGTATTTGATTGTAAAGTAGAGGGTCGATGTACTACTGTAAGTATATGCAGACCTTGCACACCCTGGCTGCAGATGAGACGCCTAGTCTCGTCCCCTTCGTGGAGACCCCTCGCTTCACATTCTCGGCTGGCGTATTGTCGGGCAGGCAGGTTCTTCCTCACACTATAGGTTGATATTTGACTTGCTCGGCAGGAACTCCTAAATTCTTAATTATGCTGAGTGTTTCTCAAGGGCCAAAATATTTTGTTATTGAGTTTATTGTATTAATAAATATTATTCATTTGAAAATTCTGTCAGCTTTGAGCCAGTATGATTTATTGGGACTATGTTTTGGTTTACACACAGATACCCCCTTTTTCACTTATGCTTACATTTCATTATTAGGGAGTTAGTTTAGATCCATAATGCTCAATTTCACTGATGGCGAGTTTATAAAATTTTGACTTGTTACAATTTACTTTTGACTTAAAACTCACCATTTGGGACTTTGTGGATTGTGATTTATATTTGAGTTTGGCTATCAAGAGAGTTACATCAGAAATAAGAAAACATTGGATCTATAAGGATTTGTTTCATTACCATACAAACAGAAAATTATATGCATATTTACATACCAGGAGACAATTACAGATAAAACACCACCAATAAAAACCTTCAAAATGTATGTTTACATTATTGGACAACAATTGTTACACAACACAAAATTTACACCATACACAACTACAAAGACAATATTGTTTGTATAAATAGGTTACTTATATGTAATACAAGTATTGTTTATTCAAACAATATTTCCAGCCAACTTTGATAATTAATCTTTCCAGTAAACATGCTGACATCTTGGATACATTTAATTAACATACAGAGACCATTTGCTACATCTTGAGATTAATTTCTCTGGCATTTGACACTTTGAAGTTACACTGCAATCTCACCAGGGGACATACTAATCTATTCTTAATCAGATTCATATTACAATTATTCACTGTATGTGATGAAAGGCAGAATAATTTCAGTCTCATAAAAATAATTACACATTAATTAGTATATATAAACTGAAGGTCAGTGGTTTCAGTCTCCTCCCACTAGATGATTGATGTAACCAAAATCTGTGTGTTAAGCCGTATGCATGGTCTTGTGCAATCAGTTTCTTGGTTCAAAGCAGCCAAACTAAGTTCAACTTAACAGTTTTACAGTGCTAGAATTCAATTTACCACCCACCAACCCCTTCCAAACACCTTCAATAATGTTCATGACATGAGGAACATCTCAGCTTTTACCAGTGATATTTTTTTATTTTATAACTTGTTTTCCTTGATGGAATTTTATCACTGGTCATTTCTAAAATTTCATCCATCCCCAAGCATTTCGGGGACAAATTTTATCAAATTTATTCCAGCGCCAGATTGATAGACCCTGCTACTTACTACTTGTAATAGCACCACATGGGCTATCCCCCATGCAGACCTTGCACACCCTGGCTGCAGATGAGACGCCTAGTCTCATCCCCTTCGTGGAGACCCCTCGCTTCACATTCCCGGCTGGCGTATTGTCGGGCAGGCAGGTTCTTCCTCACACTACAGGTTGCTATTTGACTTGTTCGGCAGGAACTCCTAAATTCTTAATTATGCTGAGTGTTTCTCAAGGGCCAAAATATTTTGTTATTGAGTTTATTGTATTAATAAATATTATTCATTTGAAAATTCTGTCAGCTTTGAGCCAGTATGATTTATTGGGACTATCTTTTGGTTTACACACAGATACCCCCTTTTTCACTTATGCTTACATTTCATTATTAGGGAGTTGGTTTAGATCCATAATGCTCAATTTCACTGATGGTGAGTTTATAAAATTTTGACTTGTTACAATTTCCTTTAGACTTAAAACTCACCATTTGGGACTTTGTGGATTGTGATTTATATTTGAGTTTGGCTATCAAGAGAGTTACATCAGAAATAAGAAAACATTGGATCTATAAGGATTTGTTTCATTACCATACAAACAGAAAATTATATGCATATTTACATACCAGGAGACAATTACAGATAAAACACCACCAATAAAAACCTTCAAAATGTATGTTTACATTATTGGACAACAATTGTTACACAACACAAAATTTACACCATACACAACTACAAAGACATTATTGTTTGTATAAACTGTAAGTATATCAGTGACAGTCATTTGGAAAGCATTCTGAAAAGAGACCATAGTTCGTCACGAACAATCTTATCTTTTGTGTTACATATCAAACACACACAAATATACATCTGTTCAATATACTTCTATATATTACTTTTTATATGTCTTTAGGAGTGTAAGTTCTCCTTCTTATGCTGAATCTAATTTTAATATAAGGATTTGACAGGGACGACAGGTTGTCTAGGTTAGAAATTATTATACAGCAACAGTCCATTCAGCTAAAACAACAACGCAGAGAAATTCATTTCCATTAAAAATAATAACTGACCGCCTACAAATAGAAGTTAATTTTCTTAAAATGAAACTCTCTGTTGTAGAGAATACGTAATTTATTCAGAAAGATTAATTGTCAGTGTTGCAGAAAACAATGACATTAAACGGCAGTGTGAAACCGCATCGTATAGTGCTTTATTAGATAACGCCAATATGGTTTTTATATACTCCATGGAAAAAGTGACTGACAGTTCAACAAGATTAACCAAACACCGGTTTCATTGAATAACGGTAAGTAATAAACCACAGTAAACTTTAAGTAAACCTTATTCTTTTGTCATATCTATCAGTTAAGATGGACAATAAATCAGGATTTTCTTGATTTCAACAATGTATCAAGTATTTGAGTATTTATATGTGAGATCAATTCTTTTATTTATCTTTTAAACCAGTTAAGGACTAAATGATGTTTGCTTTTGTTTGTCTTTATTTGTACATCTATTTTTTCGGATCAGTTCGGTGTTATGTGGTTGTAGTGTTCTGTTGTACTGTCTAGTATATTTGGTATTTCCTGTTATCCTTTTTATGTATTTGTTATATAATACGACATTTTATGTACAGAAAGCGAGTACAGAATTAATGCTGAACAATATTGTATCGGTTTTAACGGGCAGTTTTAGTCTTTGTTGATTTAATGATGTTCCGTGCATACTATTTGCTTTTTGCATCATATATGGATTGATGCAATGCCAAACCACAAACACAATGCTGATATATAGTACTTCACATATTTTATATCTTTAGACAAAAGATTATTGCTTCCAGGGACAGCAACTACAAATCAAATTGAAATTTATGTGTTTATGAATCAAAGGGAATCAATACCATGAACCCACCACACAGTTATTTTTGACTCTGTAGCCACCAATTTAGGTAATTGCTATAACAACTTCTCTGTTGTCTTTGCTCCATCTTTTGATTTGGTTTAGCATTTACAATCAGACTGCAATGCATATGCGTCATTTGAAATTGTGAAAAATGGCCATGTAAAAGCAGTGATTCATGTATGGGCTACTGCTTATGGTGGACAAACATCTTCAGAAACTGTTATATCGAATCCCAAAGCTGGTGATACGATATATATTAAAACACATACCTCCGTGAAAGCGAGAGGAGGCATTCTTAATGACAACATTGGAAAATCAAGCTTTACTGGTTAGTTTATATAATCAACAATAACAGAATAATGAAATCCTTTTCAAAACACTAAAGCTTATCGTGTTTATTTAAACAAACAATTTTCAATAATGAATCATATACTATATATTATTACGTATATATATAGATAAGAACATGTGGTATGAGTGCCAATGAGACAACTCTCCATCCAAGTCACAATTAGTCAAAGTAAACCATTATAGGTCAACGTACGGCCTTCAATAGTCTGTTTTATGAACACTGCACGTGGTTCTAGAAGCTTCAGAGATGATAACCATAACGGTACCAATTTTTCTGCACCTCATTACAGACAATAAAGACTGTGAACATGAGATTATTAGTTACATAGTGTGGTAGTGACCTAATACGATATATATGGAATTTCCTGACCCCATATATAACCTATTTTATTTGCTAAACGAAAAGCTGAATAAAAGCATTTAAGACAGCAGGGAAGATTAATTTTGTATTGTTTTACTCAAGACTTGAAATAAGAGGGAGCTATTTACACTGTAAATTTATGATGTCTCTGTACTGGTCAATGGTCACGTGAGATTTGTCATACTTAATTAAACGATAAATTGTTGAAATTAGATAACATGTTTTCACGTGTAAAGAAATTTCCCTAATAACCAGTGCATGCTTGGACTACATCTTTCTTATTGGTCAATGATCTTGTGGGGTCAGCACGAGTTCACGAATTTGTGAAAAAGTTTATGGATAATTTTGGACTGGAGTGATTTCCTTCTTGCAATTTGAGGTAAAATCGAACCATATTTTTATGTTTTAACTATC